GAAAAAAAGTTTCTCAAATTATCCTTTTAAATAAATGGGCTTCCCACTTAAAGGTGCACTGTTTAATTTTCTGGTTGGGGGTTCGTCACCTGCTTGTTTCTATGGATATGTCATTGCTCTATCTGGAATGTTCCACAGTGTGACATTAAACAGCTCTACCTTGCATTTAATAAATTACAGGTGGTTTTGTAGCTCAAAAATACCAGGAAAAACAGGCATTCTGGTTCCACAGATCTGACCTGTAACTTGGTCAGGTTTGGTTTCCATGAAGATAGGAAGGTTTAATGCCATACTGTGAAACATTCCAGACAAAGCAATAACATCTCCATGAAGAAATGCAATTAGACTTAGACTTAGACGAACTTTATTGATCCACAAGGATCATATTTATTTGACAGTCCCTCCACCAGAAAAGTTACACTATGCACCTGTAAGTGTGGTTTAGTAACATGCAGAGGCAAAAGTGGGCAGGGCAGAATAAGGTCAAACACATTGTAATGTTATTGACTGGTTCTCCTGTATATAAAGCACTAGGTTCTTTATGGACAAATGGACATTATGCCATAATAGCTGCATACTTTTTATTACAACTTCTACAACTAAATTTTTAGAGTTATAGTTTATTTTTAATAGATTATAATCAATGTAATTGAACCGTCTGCAACATAAACAAGCTTCAAAATAATCCTTAAATCGTTTCTGCCTTTTTTCTTCTTTGGAGTATTGGTATAAGAATTCAGAGATAAGCCCAAAGAGTGAGTGTGTCTGATAAAGGTTTGATGGAACAGAAGAGGACGGGACAGAGGAGAGAAAGAGAGGAGGGGTTTTGGTTTAACAAGCTTATCTCTCCTCCTAATTTAGTTTGGCCATCAAAGTGCTGAGAGGGGCCGCTGCCATGAGCACTCGTATTTTTTGACCGCTACCTGTGACAGCAATTACAGGTTCCCCTTCAAGCCCGCCTTTGTTTTGGTGACAGACCTGACTGCTTGCCGAGAACGCGATTACCCCAGTGTTGTGAGACCGGAGCATAATCAAAGGTGTACAATGCACGCTGTCACTGGCTTTAAATCAACCTGAGCTGCCCCTGCCACTGTTCCTCCAGGTCCTTTATCCACCAGAGGGCTGTGACAATACGGCTAGCAGGATCAGGCTCCTTATAGCAGCAGTGTTATACAGTACATAGTATGCCTAATGTCCACTTTGTATCAGAGCATCCGAAGCTTAAGAATGGGACAAGAAGGTTCATAACAGATGCATGTAATAGATTACACTTGACTTAAGTGTTACTCTCATATTTTATGGAAAGGTGGATCACACTGTGTCGCCACATAAAATAGTGTACCGGTAGCTTTAATTAGCTCTTGAAAGGCAATATAAAAATACTAAGTGCTAACTAAGATTTATTCCAATATTGAATGTGGTCTGTAGAAAGGGGGATGCTTTTTTCCATAACTATTTATACTAACAACATAAACAACATATTTGGTGAAGAAGGGTCTACATAAGCGATGCCACATCACTGGACTCAATATTGGTGCTGACTGCTGTTGGTGTACATATTGTATTTCTAAGCCTGCTTTATCATAGCTGCAAGCTGTACTTAACTATGAATTTTTAAAGTATAGATTATCTATATGAAGTTGCTAATAGACAGTAGTGGGTGTGTGTTTTGATCTGTGCTTGATGTGCTCAGCAGGGGTCCATAACAGTGCACACATGTTAAAGCAGTGTCGTGATCACAGGAAGTCACTGAGCCAGTAACTAATATGTTCATACACTTCAGGGAAGCAGAAACTCGCCTCTATTACAGCGCATTTGTTTTGTCAAAGCCTTGTGGTGAGACTATATTTGTTGGCCTATGACCGGGCCAATTAACATGATGTATGCTGCCTCCATCTTGTGTGCGTGTATGTGGCAGGGGACATTCATTTGCATGCTTTGTATATCCTGCTCTCTCTGCGCTGCTAAATTTTGCCATTATGTTCTACAACCTGACAGCAAAATGTCACCGTGTGCAGATTTTTACACAGCGCCCTGACTTTTCAGTTTCCTATTGAATAAAGCAGGCATCTTAACTAGGACAAAAAGTATGACTTTCACAACTAGGGGCCTTAGGCAGAGTCATTTTTGATTAAAATCAAATACTGATTTTGCTAATAACAACGGGCCTCATTCATGAAACGTTCTTACAAACAAATTTGTACTTGCCTGCAAACAGTCAGAACAAAAAATCTACTGTTTTAGAATATTATCACTCTGACAATGCAACTAAAAGTTCAAATTCCTCCATGATTGTAAGTTATATATTTTCTTATTCTTTCTTATTTCATATAAACATATTACTATCTGATCCAATAACATTTATGAGGGGCTTTATAGAGCATGTATTCTGTTGGGCCTAACAGACTTTATACAGGCTGCAGTGAGCTTCAGTCTGTCCTCCAGCCCCAGTGCTCTCCATATGGGCCACTGTCACAGCCCTGTGCCTGGCCACCGTGCTGGACTCAACATTCACATCACCCCCCTGACCTCCCATGATCAGAGCGCACTCTTATGCACCCTACCTCAGCCTCCCTCCCTTGCTAATTACCGCGATAAAGAGTGCAATAAATATGCACCTTATTTCAGTAAGTTTATGACTTAAATATTCCCTCTCTGAGTTTATTCATGTCAGTTTGGAGATTTGAAATCGCTGCTGAAGTAGTCTGTAGATGTGCTCCACCTCACTTCCTTGTTCCCGCTCTCCCTCGTGCTCCCATGTTATGCCAAACCCATATTGGCCATATATGGAAGTTGTTCAGAGGGTGTTTCTAACCAAACACATATTCATTTTCTATGTAAATTAATTGTAAATGAGCATGGAGATGTTCATAGTTGGTGTTGGTGAATTCGGCGCAACTGTCTCTTAAAACTGAATTAGGGATTTTGGAATGCGTAAGAAGGCTCTGTGAATCTGGGGCAGAAATTTCTTAAAGTGAATGAGGCGTAATGGGCCTCATTCATGAATCTTGTTCTTAACTTGTGTGCCAGATTCACAAAGCATTCTTAAGAGCGCGAATTCCTTCTTAAGTGACAGTTACGCCTAATTCACCAACACAAGCTACGAACACCTCCACACTCATTTACGTTTCATTTACATAAAAATATAAATATGTATTTGGTTAGATACACCCTCTGAACTTCCATGTATGGCCAGTGTAGGCTTGGTGTTATGACATGTGAAAGCGTGAGGGAGGGTGTGACTGAGGTGTGACTGAGGGGGTCAGGTGGACCGTGTCTACATACAGCTGTTTTACAGTTTCAGCAGCGATTACAAATGTCCAAATTCACATGAACATGCTCAGTGAGGAAATATTTAAGTCATAAACTTACTGAAATAAGCCTGTTTGTAGGATTTGTTTTTCCAGAAGAACATTTTCAGATAAGAAAAATTTGTAAATACCACAATTGTTCATAAGAAGGCCTTGAGTACAAATTTGTTCGTACGTTTCATGAATGAGGCCCAATGTTATATGTTAGTGTTTATTTTTAATTAAAATTATGTTTTTCCTACTGCCACTAGTTAGGTCAACATAAAATAGCATTCACTCAGAGAGCAGTGTACTTGGGCCAGTGTGAACATGACAGCTGCATTCTGATTCACATTAACAGGCGGCTCCGAGAGCACTTCAAACAGGTGGTGAGTGTGGAAAGGAAATTTGAATCAACTTACCAGTAATCTCAGCAGCACATCTTCTCCTGTCTCTGTCTGTACAGGTGAGCCTGAGTCTGTATGTTGTTCAAAAAGCCTTTTCTCCTTCACCGCCAGTGCATGTAGCCCTCACAGTGTAGCTATTTAGCCACAGGTGAAAGAAAAGAGCACCACCTATAGAGGAAGAGAACATGTGTGTGCCTATTCATGGGGCTCCAGTCAACTTGAAGCGTGTTGTCATGGAAATAAGTTTGGTTATCAGCTTATTCCTCTCATGTGGCTCAAGGTGTGTTTTGGGTGAATGGCTGACTCAAAAGTGAAGTAAACAGAACTAAATCTAGTGTGCACTGGGGTCAGTCCACAGAGTCCACTAACGTGTGAAAATTACCTTAAACATGTTGTTTATGTTATTTGGTGTTTTGGTTCTCAAGACAGTTATCCAATCAGAAAGCACAAGGAACCTCTCATGAGTCTCTTATTTGGGATGCCAGTTCCAATGCCAGAATCCAGTTGGTTAAAACCTAAAAGGACTCTCTCTGATTTGAACTAAACCCTAAACCCCACCATCCGCAACTATTCATTAACCGGTGATATTGCAGCCTCTGCAGCTCAGTGAGTATAGGGGAATGAGCAAAACTAGTTTGTGTCATCTTCAGCTATGATTGTAGTACGTTTTTTAGGCTGCAGAGCCTCCCTTTAATTCTCTGTGTGCATGAATAAGCAGCATTTATACAGCTACTCTTGATTACCAATCAGAGCAGGCACCGCCTTCCTCTTCATTGCTCTTTAGGCCTGTTGATTTGTATGCATTATTCATCTGAAGTCTTATAATTAACATATAAAAAAAGCATGTTGTTTGGCCTGTGTGACACAGTTTAGTAAGACTTTTTCTTTGATGCGTTGTGAAACAAACTGGTGTGTGTATGTATTTGTTTAAAAGGCCAGACAGTTGTGTTTATTCTGAATAATGAGGCATAATTGAAGTGGGGAAAAGCCCTATATAAGTAACAGCGTGCACGTGTTTACTGCCTACCACCCCTGCACTGTAAATTGTTCACAACAAATGAGAACCTATTAAAAATTAACCCAAATGGGCCAATGTAGGTCTCTGAAGCTGCTGCACAGAGCACTTTCTGTTTTGCTGAGATGAACTTATGGACTTTTTCTCCTTGTTGTTCAGTATTCATTGAATAATTGAAACAGATTTCTTGCACCCACTGTCTTATAAATCCATGGATGACATTAAAAGAGAATCTGCTGACTCTATTTCAAACATGTAACATCTAACATTTGTTTTTCTCTCTTCCAGGTGGATCTGCTGGTGCCAACTAAAGTCACGGGAGTCATCACCCAGGGAGCCAAAGATTTCGGCCATGTTCAGTTTGTGGGATCATACAAAGTGGCCTACAGCAATGATGGAGAGAGGTGGAGAGTGTATCAAGATGTGAAGCAGGGCAAGGACAAGGTAAACAGCACTCACTGCAAACATCAAGTAAGCTATAGATGAGTCTGTACCACAAACCATGTCTTCATTGCTTTATTGCCACACTGTTATGCAAGAATGAATTAAAATTTTGTGAATTGTGAGATTAAATTAGGATCTGTCAGTGACTGTATGTCCATGTCTAAAGTTGTCAAGAAAAAAAAAATAAAAATCAAATACCAGATAAAAACTGACATTAAAATTAGTGTCAACATAGTATTTTGAGCAGGTATCACCCTGTTGTCCTACATGTATATGACAATACTGGACCTTTTCTGGATATTTTTAGAATGGTCTTGATCTGTATTAAAACTACAGGAGTACATGACAAAACTAAAGAAAGTACTATTATTTTGTGTTGAAAATTACATTTTATTGTCTACATTACATTATAGTTGTATCAAGACAATCCTTTATTATCAGTTTGTCTACATCTCGAAAGCTTAAAATGCTCTGTTCAGCAGAAGCAATAATGTTCAAGCTAACAGCTACCTTTTAACTGTAGTTCAGTAGAGATTGGTACTTTCAGGGCTGAAATCATCCAAATGATTCTAGTGAAGGTGTATGGAGTATAAAAACACATGGGAGTACTTCCTGTATTACCACATTACATCACAGGCTGGAACAGAGTGTTATCTGTGTGAGAAAAGAATTAAGCCTATGCAGGGTTTGTGTCTTAATCATGTATGAATGAAACAAAACACCAATCTAGGTATGTTTCTGAAAAGGAAACAACATTTAAAATGGAATGTATAAATTTAGTATACCATATCCTACTTGAGTTGCTTAGATAGTCACCATTAAATTAAATCACTGAAATATTTAAATGATGAATTCATACACTGTAGGTTTTACCTTGAACCATCATCCAGAAAAATGTAGAATTTCCCATGATATTTTAATCTATATTGACGTAAAGGATTGTAAGTGCATGACTGCAGGAGCTGAAGTACTCAAGTCTAAATTATATATCACACAGTAAAGTCACAAGGAGCAAAGTAGAAAAGTGCACAGGAAGGACATAAATGAACAGCACATTATGAAATCTGATGCAGAAATGTCAAGAAGATTATGTGTCCACCCCACATCCTCCATCCTCTACATCTTATCTTTGGACCAAACTTGTACTGACTGCTTCAGCCTATTGCCTCTCATAGGTTTTGGATCAGATAAAAGTGCACTGTCAGGCTACCTACAGGCCTGGCCAATGCTATGCTGCAAATCTTGTTTACGAGCCTTCAACAAAATCCTCAAGTCCATGGCAGTGGCCCTCAGTGACAGACACAGGTGCTGATATGAGGAGAGAAGCAGACAATGGCACAGAGACAGGCTGCACTTTTAAGGGAGCCAGTGAGAAACATTCACTATGTATGTGCAGATGCATTTGTCATTCAGGCTTTTGTGGATTGAGTTAGAATGAGAAGTCGAAGAAACATTTTGGAGTTGTGTTGGCATATCCACAAAGTGTTATAAGATGATTTATGTTTGACAAATATAATCTGTTGGTCATAGCAGGAAAGTTAATGTTTTGCAATTTTAATAAGGTGTTGTATATTTTGCTAGCTATCTCTCCTGTGATGCACAATAGGATTAATTAATATATTAAAACTATAGTAGTTTGACCCTTATACTGATCATATATGTGTGTATTTAATCAAACATAAACATTGAAATACTGTATATAGAATGCACCATCTTTCTCTCTGACTCAATTACCTGTAGTAGATCTGTTTAGCTGAGGCGTCTGTGCGGGTGGTTAATGAAATTGACAACATGTCATTAAGGTGAGTAACACTATTGAATAGCCACATGAATATTACACCCTTGTGCCACGGAGCTAGACGGCCTGGAAACATCTCTCCATTTCAGCAGTTTCATTCCTTGCTTGAGAGGTTTATAATTTCAACACCCATGATGATCTTTGGATACAGGCCAGTGACTGCTCAGCATGATTTTCACTCAAGTTATATCAACACCAGCGACTGGATAGGCCCCAAAGGCCTGCAGACACCACTGTAGACTGTGTGAGAAGAGAAGAGAAAGGATTTACACTGTGTCAAGAAAGAGATAGAGCTTTAGCTCACAGCATTGAGACATTTGACACATTATGAATTTGCACTGAATCACAAAGATGTTACTAAGAATAGATGTGGCAAATGTATTAATTTGCACTTTTGAAGTATTTTAACAAGATTTGATAAAAATGTTCAGGAAAGTTCATCATGGACACCTTAATTACTACATCTAATTAGACAGGAGCATGTGGGGGTTTAAAAGCTTGAGCATTTACCACAGAACATTACAGGTCAGCCTGCTTTACTGACATGGCAAAGTAGCACCATTGTTTTGCTGAATCATAACAAGAATCAATAGAATCTGAGCATGTTTACGCTTCTTTCATGTACGTTGTTTTTCCACACAGCCATGAGATGTTGGGGTATTTATTAGAGGGCAGCCATGTTTAGTGTGGGCTTCAGAGAATGTCAATCAGTTTGTCCCCAGACATCCCCCCCGGCGCTGTTCTGAAGTGCCATTCTTCAAGGTGTTTCCCCTTCAGTCACACACAGCCCATAATGCTAGAGGACACTTTTGGCTGCCGGGCTCCAGAGGCTACTCCCGCCACAGAACCATGCTCCTGTCGGCAAGAATATACAGAGAAAGAGAGAGGGAGAGAGAGAGACGAGAACTATATATGTAGAGAGAACGGGGAAGAGAGAGGAGGGATAGAGAGACAGAGGATGAGAGAGAAGGGACAGAGACATAAAGGGGAGTGGAAGAGGAGAGATAGAGGAGAGAGGAAGGAAAGAGTAGAGGAAAGAGTGGGGTAGAGAGATAGAGGTGAGAGGGAGAGGGGAGAGAGGGAGAAAGAGAGAGAGTGGGGTTGAGAGATATATAGAGGGAGAGTGTGTCTGAGGAAAGCACACATTGGTATAGTCTTGTAAGTATTCCTCTCAGCTCCCTCTTGCAGCTCCTGTGTGGCAGAGGCTGCAGGCTGTTAGATAGAGATTGAGAGAGAAAGACCCATCAGAATACCGATGGTGTCAGACTCTGCTCACTGGCACTCACACAAGTTTGATACAAAAGTGTTTATTAGAAAAACTGTTCTGTTAATGATATATGATAACAGTGCCATTGGCTGTGACGAAAGGGATTTTTGTTTCAACGAGATCAAAGGATGCAGTCTATTAAATTCCTGTTAACTGCCTCCTCAAATGACCCGGGGTTACTTAGCTCCTACACAGTACACCTCCGTAAGTGTCAACATTTACACAGGAAGTCTCTGAGAGCAATCAAGCACAAAACGTTATTGATTTATGTTTAATATTGTCACCACGGTAACACTAGGAGGTTAATTAGCTGCTGGGACCTGTATGTCAGAGAGTAAAACCAGGTCAAACCCAAGATTTGGGATAAAATGTAGACTTTTTTTTGGTAATAAAGAGCAAGATATTACCAGTCAAAAGCATCCTGCGGCTTTATGAATACTGAATTTGATCACTGTGGATTCTATTGAAAATGTATCTCTAGATTATTTGGTGTCTAATGGCAGTTCTGGCAGTAGATCAAGTCATATAGTCTAAGGTATTTTCTGTCTACTTAAAAGAACACAGAAATAATGCATATAGTGGAGTAGAAAATAAAGATGCCTACTCTCAACTGTAGTGAAGTTAAAGTCAAAAGTATTTTGTTTAAGTAAAGTACAGATACCTAAAATTTATACTTAAGTACTTTACTTTTACTTGTATACATTGCACCACTGTTGAGCCTTTTGTTGAGTAACAACATCAAATTGAAAAGTGAAATTGTATATAAAAATAGAACTATACAGTACTACTGTGTAATAGATATATAGATATGTAGATATATAGAGATAGAGATAGAGATATATATCAGTATGGAATAGTCAGTGTTACATGCAGGTGCATTAATTCGGATTATTAGTTGTTTTTGTTTTATTTTGTAGTAAGTTGTAATTAGTCTTTGTTGGTATAGTCTTTGTTTATGGTTTATTTTTGTTTGACTGTGCGGAGCCTATAAATAGGGCTGGTTGCCTGTGGCGCGCTCTCTCTCTGCTCCTCCGCTCCGTGCGCCTTGCCCCGCCCAGCCCCGCTCACCTTGCGCGCTCAAGTCTCCGTGCGCGCGCCCTGAGGGTGCCCTGAGGGCCTCGCCCCTGTCAGCCAGGTGCAGGGTGGGCTCAAATGTAGCCTGTGTTAGCCGTTAGCCTTTTGTTTTGACCTGGTGGGACCAGCTGTCCTGTTTTCGCATTTCTTTTGGGTTCAGGTTGGTTTGGGTTTTTTTTTTGTTTGAGTTACAGGTGCTGGCACCGGCTTCTACGGCCCTGTACGGGGTTGGCCCGGTGTCGCACCTTTTTGTTCTGTTTGGCCGGCTCGCCAGGTCCACCTTTCTGTTTATTACTTTTCATTATTTTTTTCTGGGCACGGGAGGGTTTTTAAATTTCTTTAAAAAGGTAAAGGAAAAAAAAGCAAATCAATTAAGAGCAAACGATAAATAAAAGAAATTAAAGAGCCATATCTTCACTCCTGTGTCCTTTTTTAAATATGTTGAGACCCACCTTGTGGGAGTCGTAACAGTCAGTAACTGTTATGGATCCTCTGCACTCACACAGTGAGACAAAAAAAGACTGATCCATACAGAATTATTGACAAGGCATCGAAGCAATCCACATTAGACTATTAGTATTAGCACATTATGTCTAGAGTATAACCATTGCCCTGTTACAAAATATTCGTCAATGGCTATAAGAGATCATCTGTCAGGCCTGATTTGGTTTAAGGGCCTTTTCTTCGTGAATGTCCCTCTTGACCTTTTTCATAAGTGTTCTTGTGCTTTGGTGCTGTCCTGCGTCTCCACCCCGGGGCACAGGGCAGAGATATGACCAGCCCCTCCCCTGACCTGCGCCGCACCTTTAAATAATGGAGTGTGCTCAAAGCAGTGTGCAGACTCCTCCCGCCTCCCCCACACACCAGTGACTCCAGGAGCAGCCCAATCAATAAAGGAGCATGGCCGAGCGAGAGGGTCAGGCTCAAAAGACTCAGAAATGTTTTTAGATATACTGAGGCTGAATCATATTTTTAGATCAGAAATATACCAGATTTTTTTTTACCACACTGATTGTGTCATTGAAGAGTTCTTTTACTAGTAGGTGTGATATGCAACTAAACAAATATTTAGCCCAATAACCCACTGGGGCACATTCATTTGTTTTGTTTTTTTTTATGGATGGATTTGGAGACAAAAACCTCTTAAAATCATTACTATTCTGATATTTTCCATAATCATCAGTGAAAAATAATCACACTTTTGTAAATTAAAGGTACACTTTAATGCAACTTTTCTGGTGGAGGGTCCACCACTTGCTTGTTTCTATATGAAAAGGTTATTGCTTTCTATGTGTTAAATATTCCATAACATTTCATTAAATATGTCTGTTTTGAATTTATTTCAATTACAAATGTTTATTTGCTCAGAAATAACTTGAAAAAATGCCTCACTGTGGAATATTCCAGGCAAAGCAAGATCAGCTCCATGGGGACAAATAGATGAAGGACCTTCTACAAGAAATGTTACATAGAGCATTATTATTAATGTATATTTCCACAACCACGAACTTCTATATCTTTCCATCTTTTTGCTATCCAAGTTATTGTCATGTATTTTTAAGGAATGAAGTACACATTTAGAAGTATCTTGGGACTAAACTGCTTATGTTGATTATTACCCTTAATGTATTTTGTCTGTTGCCATCTATCAAGGTTTAACGTTCTTTACTTGTCATTCAAACAAGGAAAAGAAGCATATGGCCATGATGGTTCCTCAAGTCACAGTGATTAGAAGAGATAAGAAGAGTAATAATTGTTGAACTGTAAAACAGTCAGTTAAATAATAAAAGAAACAGAGGTAGTTAGACATGACCTGAATATTATAAAACATACTTCAAAATAAATACATCTTTATTTCATTTTAGAAAGTTTTTAAAGTTTTCTTATTACCTCATGCATTTATTTGTTGCTGCTGTTTTTGTTGCCAAACAATAAGACATGCTATTAACAGAGCTCCAGTATTTCTCAGTGAAAGCTCTAGAGGACAGAAGAAGGTCACCCATGAAACATTTAGAACAGAACACAGCCTCCGCTTCCACAAACAAAAGCCACAGACCTGGTGTACTTAAAAAAGTAATGTAAAAGGATAATCACTAAGGGGTTGTGCATCAAAATACACTCTAGCAACTTCTCAAACTGTTGTCTTGCACAAAGCCATATATTAGACATTTCAGCTACATTATTTTTGACACCTTTCTGAGTCCTTACCTGTCTCTCCATTCTAATATTATTACTGCTTTTATGATGTTTCTCCCTGCCCTGTTCCAGACTGTTTATTTTAAGGACACTGACTCTGACATGGTGTCTTGTCATATTTCAATCAGATTTTACTGCCCTCCCCTAGTATATGAACTCAATATAAAAGGAGGGCCTTTTATATTGATTTTATATTAGTTTATATATCTGTGACCTTACAATGCAAACCCTACCGCACCTTTATGTGAGGACATATATACAGGGGGTACAGTCTGGACAGTTTGAACACTTAAAGCAGAGTACAGGAAGAGAAAATATAAGTATAAAAATATAAAAATACATGTGTCTTTTTCAACACTACTGCAGCTCAAAGACAGGAGTTCACACAAAGGTAATGACAATGTAAAGGAAACAATATGCAAAGGTAGCCTAGATTTAATATTATATAATACACAAGGATATAAGGGCTAGAAAAGCATGCTGTGAAACTTTTAATCTCAGAAAATATACTTGGAGCAAAGAATTGACTCAGGTTTGTCCACCGACTGTGGAAAATATACAGGAATAAAGACAGATGTGAGATGATTAAACTGAACACTGTGTGGGAGTAGCACCAAGGGTAAAAACTTGTCATACGTGTACACAAGAGGTTGCATGCTGATTATTACATGAAACAGCACGTTCCCTGTGAGAGCTATACAACATATTAGATTTAAATAAATTATAAAAAGTTCACTACGTAACTTTTCTGCTACACAGTATGACCTTATGCATCTATTTCCATGGAGACTAGCAGGTGATGCCATCAGGCCAAACAGCAGGTCAGATCTGTGGAGAGGAGAGCAAGTGAAATAAAAGATCTGTAATTGCATAATTGAAAGATAGTAAACTCTTTTAAAGATATTCTGTCTCAAAGGGTTTATAAGATATGATAGCTGGAGCACGGAATCGGGAGAGAGAATTTAGAAGCATTCGCCAAAAGGTTGGTGCCAGGAAAAGCAATAAGAGCATTGTAATTTAAAGATTCAAAATCACCGCCTGACCACTGTGTATTGGCAGGCTTGAGTTTATTATCAGTTTATAGAAGTTTTGTTTTACATGCCACAAAATGTTTGGAATTTTCTATCCTTTGACATCAGGAAAGAGTAAAAGCTCTTGAAGAGCATTGTAGAGGTTGTTTGATCATATCGGGAAAAACAGTCTTTTCTACTGCAGCCTTAGGCTCATTGTAGTGTATATATGGGCCTAATAATCTGTAAGTAACTGTAAGCGATTAAAGCAAACTTTGTGCTTTGGACTTGCATGTAAACACGTTTGTGTTTGATCCTAGGATGTGCTCGTACAAAGAGTTTTGTGTATTAATGATACATGATGTTTCTGTGCAGCTGCTGCTGTTCAAATACATTTGTTTTCTTGGATGTGTGGTAATTGCCCGGCTCTCCAGTGATACGCTGGAGCCTGTGGACCCAGTTCATTTGCATCTGTGTCTGTAGGGTTGTGCCATGGATTATGTTGGAACAAGATGCAAAGAAATAAAATAAATCATTAATTCAATCACCAATAGCGTCTTGCATACCTTTTCAGTTCAGAGCATATATTTTCTAAAATCAGTATTATATTTTCTTTATTCTTTTATCTACTTTACCAATAATCAGTTTGATTGCATTGTTTTGTTGTGCTGCATAATTTTCCTTTTCCACACAACAGTGAATCCAATTTCATTAACATTACACGGCCATAATCACGCGTCTTTAATTAAAACGATGATATCCTTCAATGAAGCTGTCCCCGTAGATACATTTCCTTCCAATAAACTTTATTTCACTATCCACACACACACACGCACACACAGACACACACACACGCATGGGATAAAATAAATCAACAGCAGAGCAGCCATCCCTATTAGATAATTAAAACACATTTGTGATTAGTTAACCCCTTATTGATCTTTGTCTTAATGTCCTACAGTCTGAATATTAACATTTCATGACAGAAAACAGGCTTTTTGTGTGATAAAACACAAGTATGTTAATAGGTAAACAGCAGCAGATGTTTGTTTCTGATTGTCAAGTTGCAGCATCCCAATAGTTTTCAACAGGTGGTGCTATGCAGTGGTGAAACCAGCAGAGTGGATTTTCTGGTAACGCTCGATTTCAGTTGTCTCTGCTTTTCAAGGTGGCGGTCACACAGAATTGCTTCCCACAGTAGTTTTGTTCATGTGGTTAAGAGATTTTTCCAGCCTACAGACTAAGCATGTGGGTGTCTGGAGGTCTCAGGTTGTGTTTGGTTAAGTGTTGAGTTTAATGACTGTAGCAGCTTTAAGTGTATTCTGCAGTAGTCGGGCACTGTGGTTTGGTAATTGTTGCTGTTTAGAAATAAAATGCAATTTAAAATGGTGTGAGAATAATTTCTTTCAAAATTGATGATAAAGACCCTTTAACATGTGTGTTTTCCATTAAATTATATAGATAGACTTTTAGATGTGTTTACTGCTCTTAAATTTTGCTATAATTTGTCATAAAATAAACAGGCTTTAATTGTCATGAGAAATGTATGTGTGAATGTGTGAAATTGTGGTGAAGACTGGGGAGAGACATTCACCAAATTGTTGATTTTCATGATACCGAGGCTGAAGCAGAGCCTTTATTTGGTGCAGCCAAAACCTCTATGCAAGGCTATTAATCAGCACTGCATCTTCATGTGGTGAAGTGGGTTATAGTAATTAAAGTTGCACCATGTACTTTTATGGTGGTGGATCCTGCCAACTGCTTGTCTCCATGGTGCTGTTGTTCCTTTGACTGGTATGGCATTTTAGTCACCTGTCAGATCTGTGTAGAGGCAAGTCCACTGTAAATGAGAATGTATGTTTTCAAGGTAATTTTCAAGCATAAAAACGCCTGTAATTGAATAACTTACCTTACTTTGGAATATTCCAGGTAAAACAATAACATCTCCATGGAGACAAACAGGTGGAGTGCTCTCCATCAGAAAGGTTACATAGTGCACTTTAAAATGTGAAGCTTGTTTCTTACGTATACCCCTCTTGTTCTTCCAGGTTTTCCAGGGGAACTTTGACAACGACACGCACAGAAAGAATGTGATAGACCCTCCCATCTATGCGCGCTTCGTCCGGATCCTGCCCTGGTCGTGGTACGGACGAATCACTTTGCGCGCTGAGATCCTGGGATGTGCAGAGGAGGAGTGACTTCTTTCAACTTTGGATTTCTCCACCATTTTTCCCCCTCAGCTCCTGTGACATGCCAGGTTTGGGCACACCTGGAGTTTCAAAAGTAGACTGCGCAACCTGTACAAATCAATAAATTTACAATGGATTTTTCAACAATAATGTGTTTCTGTGGGTTGCTGTTAGTTCTTTTTGTACAATGGTTTCAACCCACCTCTATAATTTCACATTTTTGTCCCATAAGGTCCACTGCAAATGTAATTTCTTTTTATTACTAAGATTCACCATTCAGTTTGGACTCCTGTAAAGGTACATGGGGCAGGGTGGGGTATATGTGTGTCTGTGGGCTGGGGGGCTACTCAATGTGGTTGTTGCCATAGAAACTGTTGTACAGTGTCACTTTTTATCAAAGATGTGAATCCTGTCTGACGTGACCTGCATTGTCCCATTCCTGAAATGTCCCTCATGGGGAAGTCACTCACGTTTTTTCCGACCTATTTTGACTTCTTTTAATGACAATAACATGAACCCACCTGTCAAAACACTATAAGCGATCCTGTAAAAATGTAAAAGAACTTGCATGGTGCGTGAATTAAAACTGTATTATGACAAATCATTTCAAACATGCCCTAAAAGCTATACCTTAGGGTCCTATTTTTATGTGCATTTTTAAATAGGTCTGAAACATATTGAACACACTGCAAAAGCCTACAGAAAACATCCTACCATCTATTTATTTGAATTACTTCACCAGCTCATCGACTGTGTTAAATGTCTATAAGATTTCAGTTGACTGAAAAGCTCAGGATAGATGTCATACATAATTATAATAATAATAAAATATGATGAATAATAATGTCACAATTGTGTCATTTCTGATCACCTATTGGAGATGTCTATTGTCTGTAACATTGTTTGATGCATTTACATATGTACCAATTAAATAAACATTCTTTATTTATTATGGAGTTATTTACATATTTCTGAAATTATTCATTTACAGTGTGATCTCATGCCATAAAGAAAGTATGGACGGGATGTGTCATGTTTGGAAAGCAACAAGGGCACAATGAGTTCCTCCTACACTTACTTTATTAGTCTTTTGTTGCTCCTGTCCAAACTTATTGAGACGCCGCAAAAACCAAACTGAGTGATGTGTGTGAGCTATTATAAAGACGACATGTTTACTACTTGTACCTGTGTCTGTACTCACTCAAGAAGTCCTGGAGACGAGGTGCTCAGTCAATCTGGTTAATTTTAAGTGAATAAGACTTCGGCTAGTGATACAGTATCGACAAATAACGCTTGGCCTCTTAAATTAGACAGTAACCCTACATTACCCTTCTATTTACTCTACAACATGTTTAAGCAAAGAGATCAAGCTAATGGGGGGCAGTAGACCAATTATAGAATGTAATGGACTTGAAAGTGAAAATAAATTAGATTTGCATAGACAGTTTGTCACCTTGAAATGTCAAATGTCAACAAACCTTCTACAAACCTTGTCAATTCTCTTGATTATTGTGGGCTTTTGACTGGCTCTTGTTTATGAGCACATACTGTATGAGCATGGTCCTACACAGAATCCTGCTGTGTGTTCTCTGGGTGAGTTCATCCCAGCTGCAGCTCTGGTGCAGCAGCATGTATGATGTATGAGTCTGTACACTGAAGTGTATCACAGAGCTCCATGCACACACACTGCATACAATCAAATAATTTTCCTAAATACTCACCATTTAATAACTTCAAATGATGATTCAGTACATGAGAGAATGCACATGTTTAACTTTCACACTTCTCATATTTCTACATACATCAAGTAAATGTTTCCATCTCTGAGGAGACACAGGCAGTGAACCTAGACACCAAAGCTCTCTTCATCTGAAATGAGGCAGCATGCCCTTGATCACGTGAATTTGATACAGAAAGACAGTCTGGTCAAAGTCATTACTGAAGTTATTACAAAGCCAGATTAATTCATTAGTCTGTAGAATGATTTAACTTCATCTTACATTAAGGTAATAATCTTTCACAAAGCCTGAACCAGGACAATGTAAGGGGAGCTTTGTTCTTATACGGTATATGTGGACAGCCAATCTGATCCTGACCTTTTCATTCATATTTGCAATTTTATTTCTAATATAGTTTTGCATAATTATATTACTATGATTAAAAGGCCACATCTATTGATCCCGGTGACTCAATGATTAAATGTAGCTTTGTCAAAATGATTGAATGGCCTGCCAAATTAAAACAACATGGTGCACCAAGGGACTGGTAAAGTTTGATTAAGTAAAAGTAAACTCTGAGGAAACATTTGTAATTTGTAATATACTAAAACTAAGGCAAAAAAAAAAAAAAAGAAAACATTGAAAAAGTTGACTTAAAGTGAGTATGACAGATTTTCATGATTGTGGCTTAATTTGGTGGGATAATACTTGTGGTAAATATGAATTATAGTTTTACACCAATCAAGAAGTAATTTATGAAGAAAAGTTTAAAACAAAGTTGAAAATTACATGAAGAGTGAAACATAATGCTGACATCACATTAGGGAGAATTCTATCCAAAAGTTTAGCACAATTTACACACAAGAAAAAAAAAATTCTGATACTTGAAACATTATTTATATTTGCATTTATCAGATAATAATTTCTGTGTTCTGAGTTGTGCTAGTAGTTATGGGATTTCCTTGTATCATGTCATGATTTCTAACCAGGAAGTTAAATTTTAAGCCTAAAAAAATAGGGATGTAACATTAACCAAAATATTGTGATATTGTATCGTCAAAAGTCTCACAATAATATCGTGGGTTCCTTTGCTTAAATGCATTATTCTATAGTAGCGACAGCTTATAAACATAGGGAACTACATATCCCATGATTCATTTCAGTGTAGATAACATGAAGAAATATGTTTTTACTTGACTTTTTTGGGATTATGATGGAAATAATTCACACCAAAATCTTATCAAGGTATTTTAAAAGCAGAAACGTGTCCTATCTACAATTATATAAACCTCTCCAAAGTATCACAATAAATATCATACTCTGAGATGATCGTGATAATATCTTACAGAGAGATTTGAATACCGTTACATCCCTATAAAAAATAGTCTAAAAGGGAAAACAAGTGTGAATGTTTGTGCAAAAATCTTATATAATGATCTTAAATGTGTTTTGGTAAAATTGGTGGTTGAACTTTAAGAGTCTAGGGACTGTGCATTTTATATTTTTACAAAGGATCTGTTCTTTTGAAAATGTCACTTTTTATGTAGGAAAATGTTCACGTTTCTCTCATGACATATCCTCTAAATCTAAAAGGACTTACTGCATATTATATATTAGCATACATTCAGTGCTTGTGCCACAGAGCATAGCAGCACATCTCAGTATTAACATGCCAGTCTGGCTCTGAATGCTGCCCAGCTTATGTTTATGGATCGCATGCTGTTTGAAGATAACATCGACACATGCATGGAAAAATCAGCCCTGTGTCTCACTGCTGTGGTTCACATGGTCAAGCAAACTTAATAACCAGATTTCCTCTAGAATTACAATGGCAACTCTTTGGTTGACAGCTGTTACACTTAAAATGATCTCTGAATACAAATGTGTCATTCCAGCCCGGAATGCACAAAAGGGGAGGCCGAATCTTTGTAACACCTTTAACCTTTAAATAGCAGATATAGAGATGTTTTTCTTCACAATTACTTAATTATAGCTAATTAGTTAAAATAAACCAAATTACTGTAAATTCAGTTCAGTATTATTCAGGCATTGTAAAGAATGGATTATTTTATACTGCTTTTATCTATTTTATTAGCCAGGCTCTCTAAGCTCAAACTAAATCTTTTGTTAAAGGTGCCTTGTATTGCTTTTCTGGTGGAGGGTACAGCTTTTATTTTCTTCTTTAGGGAGATGTTTTTGCATGGTTTAGTATGTTCCACATTATGGCATTAAAAGTCAATTCAGCTTTTGTTTCATTAGAGGTGATTGTATTATTTTATTATGTTCAAAAGTACCTTTGAGAGCATTCTTGAGGTGGCGCTACCATTAGGCAAAAGTAGGCAGCTGACTAGGGCCCCCGAACCTGAGCCTCAGAGCAATTTGATTTTCTCTCAATATGACATTAAATGAGAGTAGTTTACTTTTAAAAAAGAAAACACCATCAATATGTAATAATAATATAATAATATATTAACAGTCAAAGCATTCCCCCCTTTCACGTTAGAATGGACTAGTCAGCCTGACCCTGATTTTAACATCATAGTTAATCATAGCATAATCATAATCATAATCATATGTAATGGATGTAAACAAAAATGTAATTGTACTAGTAAAAACAAAACAAAAAAAACTTTCAGCTTTTGTTATCTACTAAGCTATCTACAGAAAATAATAAGACACATTTCCAATCCACCCTAATTCAAATAGAGATGTACATGTCTTAAGAACAATGGGGAAAAACAGACAGTAAATATTAAACATATACAAAAAACAAAACGACAAAACAATGCATGAGGGCCCCAAACTCAAGTTCGCCTAGGGCCCCCGAATTGCTAACTCCACCACTGTCTTGTGTATACTTGCTTCCATAGAGACAGATGAGTTTAATGCCTTACTGTGAAACATTCCAAGCTGAACAGTTAAGTACATTTACATGGAGACTAGCAAGTAATGTACCCTCCAAAGAAAAGTTACGCAGTGCACCTTTAAGTGAGGCTGATATGTTGCCTATGTTACTAAAACCTATATTATTTGATCATTCACTATTTACCTGTGCAAACTGGTCAGATTATTAAAGTCAAATTTCCAAGATTCAAATAATAAAAGTGTAATCTAGTCTGTTCTTGTTCCAATATCCACCTGGGATTAGTACAGCATATGTCCTGTAATTGTTATGTAGGGTTGTTGTATAAAGAACGTAGAAAGTGAACATGAGAGCACCACCCTGTCTGAGCTAAATATAGTGTCACTTATCTTATGGAGTGAATTTAACAGCAGCAGCAGCAGCAGTAGCATAGTGTTTGTCAGTGTGTGGAGGACAAATGAGTTTGAAGTGGTCTGTGATACCTCTCTTGTTATCTTGTTTGTAGAGTCTTTGGGGACGACGTGGCAGAACTGGGCCATGCTTGTGCGCAGTTTGCACCTCTGTAATGATGCCGATGCAGATGTTATTTTCGGATCAGTTAGTTTACCTGTAGAACATTCAAGTGGGACACAAATTACCATTAAAACCCCCAAAACTATCAAATGTCCTGGCGTCATGTTTTATCGAGGTCAGAGCTTTCACAGCGCCCCCCCTCACTACAGCAGCAGTGTGCCTCACTTAGGACATGCCTGCTTCGGCAATTAGGCTTTTGTGAGCAGGTAATACATAAAGAGGAACCCAGTTCAGTCAGCGTGAATATCACCAGGCCATCGCCACGGATACCACCTGTAATCCTAGTCATCTGACACTACTTTTGGCATGACTGCATTTCACTGCTTTCGACATTTGTTTATTGTTTAGGTTTACCTGATAGGGCCAAGTATGTTTATGTTTAACTAAAACAATAATACTACCACTGTAATCATGATGATGCATTAAATGTATATACTCACACACTATTCCAAATACCAGGCCAGACCACACTTAGCTTCCAAGATCTGATGGGACCACAGACTGTATATTTGAGTGGACAGAGCTAACGCAGTAGCTTCCGCGTGCCAAATAGGAAGGTCACCAGGAGGCTCTTTCGGTTCCTTCTGACCCTGGCTCCAATTGACTTACATTAATATCTTGTCGCCCCTCTCTCTGTAACTGCTGCACTGAGCCTCGTCATTTTGGTCTTAAAATGTCCATATTAACCCGCTCTACATGATCCTGATTTTTTATTTATTTTTTTGCTGCTTTGTCGGTCAGAAAAATCCTATTCATAACAC